CTCTTTGGAAAACAGCTGTCCTCGCAAAATACTCTGACATACTAGTTATAGGGACAATACGGGGCATGGAGGGTGAGGAATTGAATTAGGCCCAAGAAGACTTATTTGAGATTATTTTAAATTCTTTTCTGAAGTTTAGTTTTACAAGTGTTACAGTAAAATATTTTTATATAAAATAAAATTATATGTTATCCTTTCACTTGAGAGCAGCTAATTTTGGCTGTTGATCACAGAGTTCGAGCCCTTTTTTACAAAGTTTTCACTCCTTTTACATGTCACTGTTAGAGGTATTTTGTAGGATGAACTTTTTTATAATTTTTTATTATTATGCTAGTTTATTTACAAAATTTGAATATGTCGTTTTCGAGAACAGATTTTTCCAATTTCTCTCACCTTCCCCACCCATCAGTTGTACAACTGCATGACTAATCCTCCCTCCCCCTGTACATCCTCATCCCTCTGCTTCCACCTTTCCCCCTCCTTGGATCCTTTACTCATTCTACATATTGTAGTATGAACTTCTAAAAAGATTAAATTTCAGAAAGAATATACTCTATAGGGCGAGGTATTTTCGAATATCTAGAACGGCCCTCAGCCAAGAAAAACCTATCTACACACCAGTTCTACAGGATGCATTGCCTTTGCTCGGGAAACATTACGACTAAACTTCAGAGACATTGGTCCCAACATAAGGAACTACCAGCAGCTGATGTGTTTGGAATCACAGAAGCTAAGGAAGCTTCATATATAAGTTATTAGATGAAGGGCTGGTCAATAGGAGATAGATGTGAAGGAAGTGGGTAGAAGTGGATGGGTATCCTGGCGGATGATGGAGCAGGGAAATTAGGGGGTAAAGACGCGTGTGACAAAGGCAGGGACAACACTGACACTAATGGTTAACTCCACAATAAGGGTTATAGCTTTAACTTGCTGGTCTGTCTGATACTTCTCTAAATCTGAACATTCATATTAGACAGACTAGGAAGAAGGATTGGCCATCCACTTCTGAAATAGCAGGCCTCTGAAAACCCTATGTACAACAGAGCACATGAAGATAACAGAAAGGGTAAATGAGGTTGAGTTTTCAAGTATGGAAATACAAAGGAAGAGGAACAGTTATAAGCAGATACTAGTGATTGGGACATGGAATGTGAGAACCATGAATGTAGGAAAATTAGATATTGTTAAGGAAGAAATGGAATGCATAAATATTGACATACTAGGCATTGGTGAGATGAGATGAACTGGCATGAGACATTTTGAGTTGGATGATCATATGATATATTACTCTGGAGATGAAAAGGTGAGGAAAAAATGGAGTTGCTTTCATAGTTAAAGTCATTGCTAGATCCATCTTGAAGTACAATATTGTTAGTGACAGGATAATATCCATACGCATACAAGGAAGACCAGTGAATACCACTATCATTCAGATATATGCACCAACAACCAGAGCTAAGGAAGAGGATATAGAAGATTTTTACCAACTTTTACAATCGGAGATTGATCGAACATGCAATCAAGATGTGTTGATAATAATGGGTGACTGGAATGCAAAAGTCGGGAACAGGAAGAAGATTCAGTAGTTGGAAAACATGGACTCGGTGACAGAAATGGAGCTGGAGAGAGAATGATCAAATTTTGCACAATTGATGACTTATTCATAGCAAATACATTTTTTAAGAGACATAAACGCAGGTTATATACTTGGATTTTACCTGATGGTATGCATAGGAATCAGATCGATTACATCTGTGGAAAGAACCGCTGGAGAAGCTCAATATCAGCTCTGAAAACTAGGCCAGGAGCTGA